CAGTGTGGCACCCGCGACTTGCATAAATTATTAGAATGTATCCATTTGCCTGTTGGTTTTCCTTCCAAAAGACTTAGGCTGCCGTTCCTTACCCGCCCTTTTGTTATATGGAGTATGCAGGGGGTGCACGAGAGGCTTTATGGAATTTATTGTGGTCATTTTTATCTGAGTATAAAACAGTTTGCCAAAGCACACTGTAATTAAGGTTTGCATTGACGCTTCTTTAGTCATTAAGGCAGATGGGCTGGAATTTTTAGTTCAAAATTCGAATGGAAGCCATTGCATTATGGACCTGAGGAATAGGTAAGTTTGGAGTTCAGGGCTTCATGTCTTTCCTTTCTCAGATTTGCCTCCTAGTAGTCACTGCTCTAACGCTGGAGCTCATCCTTTCCAAAAGGTACCTCCGGTGCCAAAATTCTTTCCTGCCACCCTGAAAATGCCCAGGGCCCCAGGGCCAGCAGGATGGGAAAGAGACAGAGCTGAAAGAAACCTTGGAGAGCATCTCACTTGATTTTAGTGATGGGGAAACTGAAGCCTAGGGTGCCTGGGTCGGTCACTTGCCCAAGGTTAACAGCAGAGCTGAAATTTGAACACCCCAAGGAATGATTTAACATACATGAGTCTTGGCTTCCTCCCCTGTAAAATGGGAAGCAAGGTATTTACCCAGGTTACTCTGAGGATCAAATATGACGAAGTGAAGCCACTCTGAAAGCTGCAATTTGGTACAGGCACCTTAAAAAAGGCCTATAAGCTATGCTGTTTTCCTTGCGCTAAATGTTAATCACTAATAAATATTGGCATGTGGCTCTTCCAAGTGGGATTTGCATTTTGAAATTAAAAAAATTTTTTTAAATGTTTTATTTATTTCTGAGACAGAGAGAGAGAGCAGGGGAGGGTCAGAGAGAGAGGGAGATACAGAATCTGAAGCAGGCTCCAGGCTCTGAGCTGGCTGTCAGCACAGAGCCCGACATGGGGCTCGAACCCACAAACCATGAGATCGTGATGAACCAAAGTCAGACGCTTAACTGACTGAGCCACCTAGGTGCCCCTGAAATTTCTTTTTAGTTTTTAGAGAGAGAGAGTGCGTGTGGGGAGCAGGGGAGAGGTGCAGAGAGAGAGAGAGAGGGAGGGAGAAAGAGAGTCTTAAGCAGGCTCTATGATGAGTGTGGGGCTCGATCCCACGACCCTGGGATCAGGACCCAAGCCGAAATCAACAGCTGGACACTCAACCAACTGAGCCACCCAGGTGCCCAGGATTTGCATTTTTGAAAGAGGAGAATCTGAGGACACATCTAATCCTAGAGGGGGGAAAAATGGACAGAGAAGCATTCTGGGTGCCCCTCAAATCCCTTAGTTGTGTAAAGCCAATATTTGAACAGTAAGAACACAGCCTGCTTTCAGAGGCCAAGGAGCTGAGGACTTTGTAAAGAACCTGAAAAACTTCCCACATAGTAGTTTCTAGCATCTAGGGTGAGATTTGATTAAATTAACTTGCAAGTCCCTTCTGACACTGAAGTTCTGTGATTACATGATTCCAATGGCTTCATTTTTATAACAGTCAGTCCTGTTCATATGCTTTCTCTTCAGATCCAGAAATATCAATGCCTATGGTATGTTACAAATTGGTATCTTGGTCTAATTGGCCATCTAATTTTTTGAGATGGAATTGACATAATGACATTGTGTAAGTTTAAAGTGTGCAATGTGTTGGTTTGATTTAGTCTGATCTGATGTTTATTTTTTAAAGTTGTTATTTATTTATTTTGAGAGACACAGAGGCAGCACGGGTGGGGTAGGGGCAGAGAGAGACGGAGAGAGAGAACCCCAAGCAGGCTTCACGATGTCAGTACAGAGCCCGACGTGGGGCTCAAACTCACGAAACCAAGAGATCATGATCTGAGCCAAAACCAAGGGTCGGACACTCAACCGATCAGGCACTCCCCTGATCTTTTAAAAACATGTTTATTTATTTTGAGAGAAAGCGGGAGCGGCACATGTGTGGGGGAGGGGCAGAGAGAGACTCCCAAGCAACCTTCTCACTGTCAGCGCAGAGCCTGACTCCGGGCTCGACCCCTCAAACCGTGAGTTCATGACTTGAGCTTTAATCAAGAGTTCGACACTCAACCGACTGAGCCACCAAGGTGCTCCTGATGTATCCTGATCTTAAAAAAGAAAAATGAAAAGGAAGGAAAAAAAATACACAATAAGCACATACTCTCTCATGTACAGAATATTTTAATAAGTTAGGGTTTTTTTTTTAAAGTTAAGGTGAAGGAAATGAAAGAAAAGGGTCATAACCTCTGGCCTTCGGAATGCCAACCTCAATGGACTGAGTTTGAATATTATTCACTGATACTCTCCCACAAGGTAGAGAATCGCAGTCTCAGTTGCCTGGAGGAATCTGGAGTCCAATCATTACAAGTAGCTGCCTGATGTCTGTGCGGCAATGTAAATGGAAGCAGGATCTCTATACTCTATTTGGAAGCACCTGATGAAGGGATAAAATATTTAAAAATCAAATCAAACATTTAAAAATCGCATTGTTATACCCCCCATACTTGACACACATAGGTGCTCAGGATATGTGTTTGATGAATGACTAGAACACATCAATGTGTTGTAGGTCAGGATTAGGTGGGTAGGGAATGGGTTATTCCAGACTTTGTATCAAAGGCATAGAAGTGTTGGAGACCATGGCTCATCTGAGAAACAGCAGGAAGTTTGGTGGATCTGAGGCATAGAGTGCCCTGTGGCGCAGGTGAAACAGACACAGCGCGGGTGAGGCCATACGACCAAGGGCTTCACATGCTATGCGGGGGCTTTGGATCTTATCCTGGAATCGAAGCGGGGGGACAGGGAGTTGGAAAAGGGGAAGGAAAGGACCTGGAGCTGGGGTGGGCTTTTAGGTTAGGTGGGGAGACAGGATTATCCTTGTGTTTTAGAGAGGACTGTGGCTTCTGGTGTCAAATGGATGAGGGGAGGAGCATGGGGAGGCCAATTGGGGAGGGCACAAGCCTAGAGGTAAGGTGCCCTGTTGGGAGGCAGTTGTGCACACAGGATGAGGGCCTGAGCTTGGTGGTGGTAGCAAGACAAACGGAGAGATGTGAAGTACAGACTGAGCCGACAATGAGGTCCTGATAGAAAAGAGTGAAATTAGCATGCCCCCGCCCCAGCAAAACCCGCTGACATTTACCAGCTAATCAAGTAGAAAACAGCCTTGTGATCGCAGCAGCAGTGAGAAATAGCCCAGGGGTTAGTTGACAGTAAATCTAATATTCGTCAGCTATGATATAGCAGTCAAGAAAGCAAATGCCATCTTCGGGAGCTCGAGTAGAAAAATCTAGTGTCTAGATAAGGGATGTGACTGCTCTGGTCTGGTCTGTGCAGAAGGGTCTGTGCCCCCGGGTTGCGAGTTGGGGGGGGAGGGGAGGAGAGACTAATTTCCCACCTTCCACCTTGGCAGGCTATAGAGGAATTGGTGTAAACTCCAAGAAGTGACTTCGACTCAGTTCTTTGGGGCAACAGAGAGCCTGGAAGAACTGTGGGACCAGACTTGTCTTCAGATTGCTGGACCCCCGTGGGAAGAGGGGCCAAGCTGACTTTGTGTGGTTTCAAGGGGGCAGAAGTTTACCAGTGGGCCGGTTTCGCTCAGTCTAACGCGACCCCAGTGGCGGTCCAGTGGTGCCAGTAAGTGCTTGTCACTGGAAGTTGTCCAGCCCATAGGGCAGAGCCCCTGTACAGGGGACGAACAACAACAAAACACAACAATACTTAGAGCAGTGCGGGGACAGTCAGTGGATGACCTTCGAGGTTCTTGCTGACCCTGTGATGTGTGAGTTGTGGCCAGGCCGGTGTACATTTCACAGCGGTTCTGCTCAGGGATGAGGTGGACGACTGTACCCCTCTCATTAGCTTTTGAAGTATTCGCTTATTCTGAAGAATAGGTCGCGTGGGGAGGGGGTCGGCAGACCAGGTGGGTTGCAGCCTTGAAATCACTGAACTTGGTGCGGGGAGGGGGGGGTGAGTGGGGGTGGGGGAAGCCCAGGCAAAGCCTCTCAATCGTCAGGAGCAACCGCGCAGTGGGATAAACTTTGGCTGCAGCTTTGCCGCACGAGAGGGGCGGGGTTACTTGAACGGGTCTTCGGGAGCTGGCGATTGGCCCCGGGGGATTCGAAGGGGCGGGACTAGCCCATTGTTGCCATTGGTCCTGAGGGCGAGTTGAGGGATCGCAGCCAGGGGGCGGAGCCGGCGGGGGCTGGCAATTGGCTAGGCGCGAGCCCACCGCGCGGAGGGAGCGGGCGGAGGGAGCGGGCGGCCGCGCGAGCCCGCTGCCTGGAGCCCGGAGCCGCGAAGCAGCCGCGGCGAGCTCGCCCGGGCCGCAGCGGGGCGAGGGGGCGCACGGGGCGTTGGCAGCGGGGCGCGCGCTTGCGTCGGCGACTTGGACGCGGCCATTCAACAGCTGGCCTCGCGGGCCACGGTCGCAGGGAGCGATCGAGAGCGTTGGCGGTTGCGACTGCGGCGGCTGGGAAGCGGCGGCGGCGGCGGCGGTCCCGTTACCTCAGCGGAGACCGAAGCGGAGGCGCAGCGGCTCCTCAGGTTCCTGGTAAATGCCTTCCGCTGCGCTCGCTGACGGGCAGCCACGTCCCGCTGCGCCTCGGCCAGCCGCCCCGGCCCTGGGGGGGGTGTGGGGATGGGGGGGGCGGCTCAGGTACCACGCCAGCGGGGCCACGCGGGACCTTCGGCCGAGATTGGGGAAGGCAGGCACGGGAGAGCCGAGCCGGCGCGCCTGCCTCCCCCCTTCCCCCCCCTGCTCCCCAGAGTCGGGCTTTCCAGAGATGCGCCCGGGCTCTACCCGCTGGTGCTCTCCCTCCTTCGTGGAGCGCGCCGCGCCTCCGCGTGGCCCGGCGCCGCACTAGGGGGCGCTCAGGCTCCCGCCCAGGGGCTCCCTCAGGCGGCGGCTCCGGCAGAGGTCACTCGAGGCGCTCCCCTGGGGTGCGCCGGCAGCGGCTTCCCGCCCCCGGAGATCGAAGGTGCCCTCTTCGGTTCGCTCGCCACGCCGGGGGGGTGGGGGGAAGGAAGGCCGGGGCTCCCCCCCTCCCCGCCTCGCCCGTGCCCGTCCCGTTCGGCGGGCCCCGCTGGTGACCGGGCGCTGAGGGACTTGTCGAGAGTCTCGCCTGAGGTGTTCGGGGGGCGGCGCGGGGTGGCTAGTCCCTTCCCCCGTCGGACCGGGAGAGCCGGACTCCCTCACGGGGCGCGAGGCACCGGGGTCCGAGCTGGGGGGATGCGGGAGCGCGGGGAGGTGAGGGGGGCCGGGGAGGTGAGGGGGGTCAGCGAGGCGGTGGGGGGGGGGAAGAAGCGGGTCGGGGAGGCGGGAGCTGTGGGAGAAACTGCGGCCCCCGAACTCGGGGGGGGGGCGGGGATCGGGCGGCCTCGGCCCTGGGGCCGCGGCGACGACGCCTTTACGTGTGGCGTCCTGCCCTTTTTGCCGTTTTGTCGGAAGGGAGCGGTTCCCGGGGCACGTTTGGCCTCGGCGGCGCTGGGGGCCTTGGGGGCCTTTTCGGGGTTTGGGGGTGTGTGTTATTTCTCGTTTGAGAGTAAGGTCTCAAGGCTGGCGCCCACTTGGGGCTGTTTGCCCACGTGCCTCTGAGGTAACTTTGGAAGTTGGTGCTGTCGCCGGATTTGGGCGGTGCTGCGGGTGGGGTCAGCGTTCCTGCTGAGGAAACCAGCCCATGGGCTAATCTGGTTGGGATTCCCCCAAGTTCTGACTTTTCGGCTGCCTGTTTTAAAAAAAAAAAAAAACTTTTTTTTCTGAGAGAGAGATAGAACAAGTGGGGGAGGGGCAGGACGAGAGAGCGAGAAACAGAGAGAGAGAGAGAGACATATAATCCGAAGGAGGCTCCAAGCTCCGAGCTTTCAGCACAGAGCCTGAAGGGGCGGGGGGTGGGGGAAGTGTGTGTGTGTAGGGGTCTCGAACCCACAAACCGTGGGATCGTGACCTGAGCCCAAGTCGATCGCTTAACTAAGCCACCCATGCACCCCTAAACCCTCCCACTTTAGAGTGAAGCCTCTATACCCACCCATTTTATTTTTGTAAATGTTTATTTGCTGGGGGAGGGGCAGGCAGAGAGGGGGACAGAGGATCTGAAGCGGACTCTGTGCTGACAGCAGAGAGCCTGATGTGGGGTTTGAACCCACAAGCTGTGAGATCATGACCTGAGCCCAAGTCCAATGCTTAACCAACTGAGCCACCCAGGCGCCCCTAAACCCGCCCACTTTAGAGTGAAGCCTCCGTAGCCACCCACTTTTTTTTTTATGTTTTTGTATTTTGGGGAGGGGGCAGACAGAGAAAGGGACACAGAGGATCTGAAGCGGGCTCTGTGCTGACAGCAGAGAGCCTGATGTGGGGCTCACACCCACAAAGCGTGAGATCATGACCTGAGCCCAAGTCGGTTGCTTGACCAACCGAGCCACCCAGGCGGCCCCTTTCGGTTGCTTTGTAAAGAATCTGGCATTCCTTGGGGCGCCTGGGTGGCTTAGTCGGTTAAGCATCCGACTTTCGCTTAGGTCATGATCTCGCGGTTCGTGGGTTCGAGCCCCACGTTGGGCTCTGTGCTGACTGCCAGCTCGGAGCCTGGAGCCTATTTCAGAGTCTGTATCTCCCTCTCTCTCTGACCCTCCCCTGCTCACACTGTCTCTCTCTCTCTCTCCTAGAAATAAAAAAAAAAAAAAAGAATCTGGCATTCCAGGAGTCACATTTTTCTGTGCCCGGTTTTTTGGGCAGGGGGTGTGTCTGTACAAGCATGGAGTAACTGGCCACATGGAGTAAATTGCATGAAGGGGTTTTTACCCTGACTCTTGTCAAGCGCAGAGAAAAGTGATGAGTTGAACAGCCTGCCAGCCCTGGTGCCCAGGGAGTCTCAGCTATCGTACATATCAGAGGATGGATGGCACTGACTTGAGGGGGGGTAACACTAGGGGAACAGGGCCTGCAGAGGCCATCTTTGCCCCTGTCATGAGTCATGGGCTTTCCATTTAATCCTAGCCAAAGACCACACTTGCAGTGTGGCCTATTTATCCAGGGTCCCCATTGTTTACTCACGTGAGGAGGGTGGCCTTTGACTGGTTCATGTGTTGTCCCCAGCATCAGAAGGAAGGGTGAGGTGCAGAGAGGGGGATGTGAAGGTGGTGATGGTGTGCATGCACAGTGTTGTAAAAAGCCATTGAATTATGGGTCAACCGTGAAAAACCAAAAGATCTTAGGCACCTGGCTGGCTCAGTTGGTGGGGCAAGTGGCTTGATCTCGGGGTTGTAAGTTCCAGCCCCACATTAGGGGTAGAGATTCCGTAAAAAGAAAAAGAAAGATGGAACCAGGGGGTATTATGCTAAGGGAAATTGGTCATCAGAGAAAGAGAAATACGTGATTTCACTCAGATGTGGAATTTAAGAAACACAACAGATGAACATAGGGGCAGGGAAGGAAAAATAAGATAACAACAGAGAAGGAAACAAACCATAAGAGTCTCTGAAATACAGAGAACAAGCTGAGGGTTGCTGGTGGGGAGGGGGGTAGACTCAATGGGGGATAGGCATCGAGGAGGGCATTTGTTGAGATGAGCACTGGGTATTCAATGTAAATGATGAATCACTAAATTCTACTCCCGAAAGTGTTATTACCCTATACATTAACTAACTTGGATTTAAGTGAAATTTTAAATTTTTAAAAAAGATTTAAAAATTTTTAAATTTTTAAAAAAGATTTAAAAATTTTTAAATTTTTAAAAAAGATTTAAAAATTTTTAAATTTTTAAAAAAGAAAAACCGAACGATTTCAATAAAAACCAGCACTTCCAGTTTCTCTTGAAATGCCAAAAGTCTTGGTCTGCATTTTGCCTGCGGAAGGCAGAGCTGTGCAGTGCTAACTCCCTCAGCGGGGGTCTGTGTGTCCCACATCCCCCCCCAACCCCATCCTGGGACCTACCTGACCACTGACCCAGACCACCACTTGAGGGAGGTGAGCCCTTGCTCAGGAAGATTCGAATGCAGGATTAGCTTCTTGTCCTGCTGTGTAGTTAGCGAGTTGCTGGACTAGCAGTAGAGCTGACCCTATGAAAGGCGAATAAACCTGCCACATGGGGAAGTCGTGGGCGTCACTGGCGACGGTCTGATGGCCAGACCCTGACCACTCTACAGAGGTGGTAACCTCTCTTCTGGGCTGGGGTTTTGAAGCCCACTGTGCTAGGGCCCCAAAGAGGCACTTTGGCTGGCCTTGCCGTTAATCCTGCACTTGGATGCAGGTTTTCTTTCCACTGCATCCTTGGTGTGTACGGGATATAGGTCAAAGTGATCAAAAGAGTTCAGGGGGAAAGAAACAACTCAGAAACGACTACCTAACAAATAGCTCGTTAAAACTGTTAAATGCAGGGGCACCTGGGTGGCCCGGTCGGTGAGGCATCTGACTCTTGATCTCAGCTCGCGTCTTGATCTCAGGGTTGTGAGTTCAAGCCCTGTGTTGGGCTCTGCGCTGGGTGTCATTTTCAAAGAAATGAGTTAAAAAAAATTGTTAAAAAAACCTCTGTCAATCCCAAAGTCCCCAAAGGCACTCCCTGTGTTCTGGATGGACAGGTCCAAGCCATTTCTTTCTTTCTTTTTTTTTTTTT